TCTCTCTCTCTCTCTCTCTCTCTCTCTCTCTCTCTCTCTCACACACACACACACACACACACACACACACCACACACAAAACACATTTTCTAAGACCCAACTGCATGTTATTCATCTATATTAAGCAAGAGAAACTGTTTTCTAAATGGATGTAGATTCCTGCCCTCAATGAGTTTGAAGTTTCATAACTGTGCAGAGCTGTGTCCACTCAGATTTGTTCATCTTCCAGCTCCTACATCTTGCCCAGAGGCCTATTGGAGCAGAAGAAATGGGTCTACTTTCTCTGCCTTTTAAAGCACGGAGCCACCTAGTCCCGAATCCCCCCTCCGTTGCCACACTAAAATCTAGTCACTCGGGCTTTGTGATACCCCCCACCCGGGACCAAATCTTGTTTCTTAGGCAGGGCATCCCCATCCCCTTAGCTGTGAGAGGAAGGGAGGCAGTGTGAGGGTTAATTTTCCTGAGCAGCCCTGCCACCATTGTGCAGGCATCACAGAGGGTTTGAGGATTTAGAAACGATTATAAGTCTGTGTTTATTTTAGTCTATTATAGTCACAGTTTTCATTGGCTTTGATTCGAACTCATTGTAGCCTTCATCTTTCTGGAATGAATAATGATTTTAAAAAACAATTTCTATCAAAAAGTAGCACTGCACCACCTCCCTCCCCGTTCCTGCCCTGGCCCCATCATTCCAGTTATCCTTATCTGTGCCTTGCTTTCTGATGTCCACCTGCAGTCTTAGGCAAGCTGCCAAATGTCGCTGCTCTGGCCCATTGCTTGAGGTAATAGTTTCCAAATGTTTACTGCTTTAAACTTTGTCTCGTCTTATCTCTCCGGCTTCAAGGCTTGACCCCTAATGTAAATTTCCCAAGAATTTGAAAATCAGTCCACGCCCATCCTCCCCGTTTAAGATTTTTAAAATCACACCCTCTTTTAAACATTTGACTGGATTTTGAAGGCATGTAATCCGTCTTGCACACAGTAAGCGCTTGATATTTTGTTCTATTGATCTCTCTAATGGTTCTGAGTAACAAAATGATTCATTCATTTAAATTTCCATTTGTAATCTTATTAAATGCCTCTGAGGTATGAGGAACTGGCTACAAGATATACATGTAAGATACATATATGACTTTTAAGGCAAAAGATCAAGTTCCAAATAGATTATGCCTCCAGGTCTAATGCATGGAAAGTATACTGAGACTATTGGAAGTTCTGACTGTAGCATCAGGTAACCTGAATTGGAGAATGGTGATCCTGATTTATAGGTTGTGTGACCTCGGGCAAGTCATTTCATCTCTCGAAGCAGCATTTTTATCATTGAGAAAAATGAGAACCATAATAGTATCTATCGGGTGTGCTTGTTTGAAGATTAAATGAGATAATGCTCACGTCACTGGCCCATAGAAAGAGCTTAGTCCATGTAAGCTATTATTATTGTGCTTCTATGTTCTACAAGGGAACAATCTAGACATTGAATACATCAGTGTTTTTCAAGTGTTTTTCAGAATCAACTAGTTATATTTAAAAATGCAGATGCCGGGGCCCCACCACCGGCTTACTGATCATGCTTTCTCACACTGAGGTGTAGGCACCTGTATTTTACCCAGCTTCCCAGGCATCTGTTGATGAGAAGCCTTCTAGGTTGTCCCACTGCTGCTGCAGGGCTCCCGAGCTGTTGTGTGAGCTGCAGTGGGTAAGAGACTGGGTGAGCTGTGAATAGACTTTGTAATGTGCCAGGTGATCTGTTGCCCCAAATTTCTGCAAAGGTCTTAAAGACCATTTTAAGGTTGGCGATATTCATCGTAATGCACAGTAGCGATATCAGCTCTTGTCTCACATTTTTAAATGAATCTTTTGCCATGCCAGATTTAGGGAAAACCTCAGGGGCATGTGAAGAAAGAACAAGAAACAAGAAACAGGGAGGTAGGAAGCGCTCTCTGTTTGTTAGAGCTGCAAGATCACCGATTCAGAAGGCAGAGGATAGAAGTGGGGAATAAAAAAAAAAGAATGGCATCCAGGAAAGAGAGATTTTGGTGCCAACAATTGGACATCTATGGGTTCTCTGCTCTCTGTCCCTTTGGGACAGCTGCTGGGGGTGGGGTGCAGGGCGTGCAGGGGCTTTGGGCTGTGTGACAATAGGCCAGTTTCAGTTTAGTTCGAAACTATTAAAAATTTAGTTTTATTGGTGTCTCAGAAAAGCAGTAATTGTTCTGTTCCCCTGGCATATCTATTCCATGAGGCAGGTTGTAACTCGTCTTGTTTGCCCAAGCCTTAGTAGAGTCCCCAGTGAGGGGATAATCTGACGGTGTCAATTTGAAAACAGATCTGTCTCCTGATCAAAAGAAACCCACTGAGGTAGCAGTTTGTCACCTTCTTCCCCTCAGTCCCCAGAGTGGGGGACTCTAGCAGCTCTTGTGCTTGGCATCTTTGTATCCTGTGGACAGCTTGACCCGTCTGGGGAGCTCTGACTATTGGTAGTCAGCTGGGAACACAGCTTTGTGTGTACAGGGGTTTAATGGAGGATGATTCCACAGGTTCGTTGAACAGTCTTTCACAAATGGCGACAAACTTTTCACCAGTGGAGAGTAGGAAGCACCACTTGGTGTTTTTCAGACCCAAGTTCAGGCACTTATTGGCTGGGTGACATTGGGCAAGTGACAACTTCCCTGAGCCTCAGACTCCTCATTTTGCTATCAGTGTTGTTGCGAAGATTAAATGAGAAAATTAAATGTGTGAGAAAGCCCTTAGACAATTCTGGCACACAGGAAGGGCTCAGAAAATGGTAGCTGTGGCCAGTACCAATGGTACCAGTATTGCTGCCATTGCGCTGAACCTCAAGACGAGGAAAATGTCCCCCAGACCTCACAGCAGGGATGAAGTCCTGTGCCTTAATGCCCTCTGCACACAGGATTTAACAGTATAGTCTAGCACAGATGGCTTAAGTAACTCCCCTTCAGCTTGAAAGACAGTTGGCCTTGTTCAAATAGATCAATCAGAGGAAGTTCAGTTGTAAACAACGTGGTCAACCCTACAAATCAATCTGTAAACACGAGTGATGCATATTTAAAGACCTAACGCAAAAATTCAGAAATAGAAGTTAACAAAGAATTCTAACCTTTTTGGTACATCAACTGCATGGTAGCTCTCAAGAGAAAGATCAAGTATTTGCTCTGAAAGTTTACTAAAAAGGATTTTGGAAATGAAAAAGAATTATCTACAGGTTAACAGTGCTGTAGGTAAGATGTGCTTTTTGGTCATATTAACCTTCCACTGACTACTGATAGATATAAGAAACTAATGATTCATAAATGCCTTTCTCTGATGTTGCCCCAAGACGTACACTCTCATCTATAGCAGTGAGGCTGACTGTCCCTCTTCAGTCATCATAGCTGTGTCTACCTTCCATCTCCATGGGAGCCAAGGCACCTCACGACATTAAAATAATTTTCAATCCATGAACAAGTGAGATTAAACACTGAAGAGTAATTTCCAGAATTAGTTGATATTACTCAAATCAACTGGGGAATGAGTATTGGAAAATTAAAAAAAAAAGCCAAATTTAATAATACAAAATTATTTATTAGTTAAAAAATTATAATTTGTTCGTTACACAGAAAGTAAAATGAATATTCCCTACAACAATTTTAACTATAAGCATACAAAGTAGGAGTGGCACTATGATTGGGTCTGAATTTCATATTAATGCCTAAATTAGTGTCAGAAAATCGAAAATGGTGACATGTAAACTGTGTCCGTGATATTTTGTTAGCAGGTTGCATATTTTGAGTTGCCATCTAGAGGTGGCAAAAAAATAGATGTATGCATGCCATGTTCCAAACTAATGTAATTTCTGTTAACTATAGCAGATGTCCCAGTTTGTTTCCCTCCTACAGAAATCACTGCTTGCTGCTGCTGAGGGAGTGAAGTTCACATAGTCTGTGCTGGAGTAAGAAAAACACTCTGAAGCTCTGAAGGTGTCCAAGTGTTCTGCCTCGCAGGATGCACAGCAGCAGACAGAGGCGGTGGCAGACGAGAAGCAGTTGTACTGGGTGTGTGAGGGCAGGTGAGGGTAGCAGTAGTCTTCCGAGGGGTAGCCACAGTTTCTGGTGTCCAGAGAAGGGGGAGAGTTGTAATTCTCCGGAGTATATGAAGGTAGATGAGCAGGAGAGTAACTGTAGTCTAAGGAACCAGAGAGAGTGGAGGAATCCGAAGGCCATCCTGGGGTCTAGAGAGATGAAAACCAAGGAACAAAAAGCTTGATAAATTAGACAGAATTAAAAGAACTGAATAGAGAAGATTTAGTAACTCAGAGTAAGAACATTAGGGGGAAAAAAAAAGAAAAGCACAACAAAACACCCAACCCAACCCAAGTCTGCAGAAGTAATTTTATTTGCTGGCTGGCGTGATTTCATGACACCGCATTCTATACTTAACCTATTTCTTTCCCAACAATAAATTGCCTTGCTTCACTGGCTTTCTTTGTTATAAGTATACTTTAGAGCATGCTTTGTTCTTAAACCACAAAATCCCATTGTGCTTCATCACCTGTGCATCAGATCCTGCTGTGTGCCACGATATAAGCTGCAGGTGGCACCCTGGATGTTTCTCCACACCCTTGACTGTGGAGAACAAGGTGAACATACACAGGTAGAACCGAGATCCTCAATGAGCCAATGTCTGGGAGGCTCCAAGACTCGAAACTACTGTTACAGGCGCTAAAGTCTTGACCCCTGCGGAGAAAGGCACTTTCTGCTTCCTCTTAAGCAGGTCCACAATTGTTACTGAGAAAGCCTAACTTGGAAGCTGGAAGAGAAGTGAATGACTGGGGCCCTGTGTGCATATCCTGTGGAGTTAATTTTTTATCCCCTTAAAATTTAGTCAGATACCTACACGGACTTTTGACAAACCAAAAGAAAAAAGTATTTACATTAAAAAACTACTTTCTGGGCTTCCCTGGTGGCGCAGTGGTTGAGTCCGCCTGCCGATGCAGGCGACACGGGTTCGTGCTCCGGTCCGGGAAGATCCCACATGCCGCGGAGCGGCTGGGCCCGTGAGCCATGGCCGCTGAGCCTGCGCGTCCGGAGCCTGTGCTCCACAACGGGAGAGGCCACAAGAGTGAGAGGCCCGCGTACCGCAAAAATAAAAAAATAAATAACTACTTTCTAAGGTTTAGAAAAACTATACGAGTATCTAAAAGACATCTTCAACAACTGGTATCTACCAATGGACACCTTATTTCCACTTTAAGTGGTAACATTTTCAAACATTTGAGGTCCATGAAGAACAGACAATCCAAATGTTTTCAACTATTAGGGCTTCATTTTTTTACCAACCATCTCAGACCCAAATGAGTTCTTGTGCCTGGACCAGACCAAAACAACCAGTTAGTAGAGCCAATTCAGTGCCAGAATAAAACAAAAAATCCCTTATCAGATGACAGTTTGTACTGTGTTGAAACAGCCTTAATTCTAATTTCTAGAACTCAAAAGTCCAAGGGCCATTGTTTAAATCAGTAATTTCCAATGAGTAGATTTCTGAACTTTACAGTTTAAAAACATTAAATGAGTATTGCCGGGAAACCTCTTTTTATGGCCACACACCAAAAGTACTTGGGCGCAGCCGACTTGGGAAATCATAATTACGTGTGTATCCAAAGGTTTTTGCCCTTCAGTGTGTGGCTATTTCTACCTCCATTGAGTTTTAAATGGTCCTTTGCTTGTTTCCTGGATGATTTTCTTGTTGATAGTGTTTTTATGATTTCTCACGAGATGATACAAACTCTCTGCCCCATAGTAAACAATAATAGGTTTTGTAAAGAACAGAGATAAATTACCAGGCTCTGGTTAAAGCAGAAAGGGGCAGGCTGGAAGCTGTCTGGGAAATAGTGCGGAGTACTTTGCATGGAATTGGGCGAAGGGTCTAGGTGTGTCTCTGTCTGAAGGTAGGAATCAAATATCTGGTCGAGGAAGCCTGGATTTTCTTCACGAGAAACACAACTGGAAAATTCTCGGGGTTGGAAATAATTGGGTATGGAAGGAATTGGTTCAGGCTCAAAATACTGTCCTAGAAGAAAAAGGAAAAGGAGAGATTTTTGTTTAAAAATTGCACTTACAGATTTGAATGGAGTTCTGTTCTTTATTCTGAATATTTACTACCTCTAGGGGGAAAGGGGGCTTAAGAAGTTCGAGAAAAGTAATCTGGATTTTTTAGTTGCCTTAGAGAATTCAAGTCCACTGAAATGAATCTGGTTAATAATGTGGAAACTGGCTGTAAATGTGGCCTGGGCAAAAGAAAACAATGGTGATCCCATTTCTGTCCAACTGTCACAGTCAAGCTCAAACTTCCCCTGTCCACTCTCTTAGACTATAAAGCACCAACTCCCCACCCCTATCTGCAGTCCAGGTGACCCTCATCTCTCAGAAGTAACTTGTAGTGTTGTTTGAGACTTTAAGAAAACTTCTGATGCCACGGGAAATAATTCTCTCGATCTAGGGTTAATTGCTTTCCAAAAGTTTTCATACCTACTCAGTAACTTAAATTTTGAGGAGTACTACAAATGGCAATGCATATTATAAATAGAGAAGCCAGGAATGTCTACAGATTAGTACTGCTCATTTTATATTACAAAAAGCAAAATGTTTCCTTAGTGAACATGTTACACATGATCATGGAATTAATATGTTAAATACCAAACAAGAATAGTTCTGAAACCCCTCCCTTTTCCATTTCAGTATTAATAGGCCCCATTTCTGATTATTACCCTTAAATGCTCATAGAAGATAGGTTTAGAGTGTGTCCATCAGAGGAACGACAGAACACTGGAGTTTCTGAAGTCTTAAGGCTCCTTTAAGGTTAAGTGGCACATTCAGTGGGGAGCTCCCATAGCACTGGTTTCCTTATATATGACCTCCTTAAACTCTGAGCCATTGAGTGGCATAGGTAGGAGTGTTTATGTAATAGAGTTATTCGTAATGGGCTGAGAAAACTTACACTTGCTTGAACTGCTTTCTGGGAAGAGAGAAAAGAAGGGGAGGGAAGCCCCTGTTGGCTAGAAACTAAGCGAAACAAGAGCAAAGGCATTATTGTAGGACCTCGGGATGTTCTGTATTCCATCTAATAGTACACTAAAAAAGATAACAGCTTTCTGAAAACAGTTCTGATCTTTTAATCGAGTTTAGTTACTGGGAGACAAGGACCTGGAACTAATGTGAAGAACAAGCTCTTGGAGCAGAGTAGGTAGCAGGGAATAGACAGTTCAGAAATGAGGACAAAATGTTGCACTTGTTTCCTTGCTGGGCTTGTATTTGGAGTCACCATGCCTTTTTTCACCTTCTGATTGGTTGGATTCCAATTAAATGGTGGTGCCTATCCTAACCCCTGAATCAAGTACTGAAAGCCTTTCGAGATGGACTTTTGGAAGAGTTTTTGAGGGAATTGTAAGGCTGGCTTTACTGACCTGCAGAAGATGGTGGGACTGGGTCTGAAAGGTGGACACTGTTGCCTCCGGACAGCTGCCAAAGCAAGAAGATGACCACAAAGCAAAGTGAAATAAAAGTTCTTTAAAGGGAAAAAGCTAAGACATTTTGACGTGAACTGTGTTACCTTCTGCTTAAGGTAAGATTCTTTCTTCTGAAAAAAACTCACTGTTGTGAAATACAACCAATGTTATATCTTCTTCGGATTCAACTTGTATTTTTCTTGGGGATTTTTTTCTAATATCTCCCACTTCAATTATACAGGTTGTTAATTTTGATAAAAATTAATTTAAATGATGTTTATATGACATAAATGAACAGTGAAAGAAAACACAGTAAATAGCCTTTCTATTAAACTATTTAATTTAAAATAAATAAGGATTAACATTTATTTAATCCCAATTGTCCGTAACTTAGTCAATCATTTTCCTCAAAATTTTCATATACGATCTGGCAGCTTAATCCTGGATAGCTAAAAATAGTCACATGTTCTTCCTAGCTATGAAATATTAAAATAGAGAATATTTTCTTAAAGTTGTAGTCAGTGAACTGTAGCCTATCTACATTCTAGTTAATGCCTGGGAAATATTTCACCTCTTGGTATGTTTTTTACTATTTTCTATAAGAGTTGCTTTTTTTCACTACGATAGTTAAATACCTGAAGTTTATGAGACTGTTCCTTTTAACTATTCAAACTAAAGCAGTCTGTGTCTTCCAGTTAAATTGATAATTGTACTAACTGAGTAATTTAGGACTTCTTTTTTTTTTTTAGATTTCAGGTGGTGGCTTTAAAGTTTAAAGGGACCAGCCTTGCTCTGAGAATCTGTGCTGGGAAGCAGAGCTCAGCATGCCTCTCTCCTGGTTTACAGGGTATACTCACTCCTGTACACTGAGCCGCTGGGAGCCTGCACAGTCAGCCGCTGCTGAAACAGGAGGTGGTGTTAATTTTGAAAACGATCCATGCTGTAATGTCATGAACCAGGAAGTTGGAATCCCTCACCAGCTCTTTATGCAAATATTTGGCTGCAGCTTAAGCTCAAGCACTTGCAAGGAGTGAGTTTTAAAAACTCGGCTTCAATGTAGAGCTCTGGTTAACCCCATTCCTCCCCCGGAATGGTCCGTTTGTAGGCCTCCCCAGGTTATCTCCCTCAGGTATGTTTACAATACCCTACTTGATATTATCTTTCTAGTCATGGGTTCACTTTCTACTTTGCTGCAAGGATACAAAGTCTCCTCTCTCTTAGATTTCAAACGGCACAAAAATCCACAATCTACAATTTATAAAAATACATCAAGGCTGTTTAAAAAAATTAATGGTAAAAAAAGGGTAAATTATGTCTTTTGATAAGTACTAACTCCAGTTTCTCTTTATCCTAAAGGTAAAAGAGTTGTGTGTGCATGCGTGTATGTGCGTAGGGCTGTTTGTAAATTGATCTGGCCGAAGTAAGTTTTTTAATCAAACTGACAAATCTGGCATACACATGTTTCTCCTGGCACTGAGACCCTAATGTTTGTCTCAATCTATAACTTCCATTCAGGATTGCCTTCTTAAAATTTCAAATTGTAGATTCTACTCTGACTTTATAGCAAATTACGATAAATTTCTTCCTGCTTTATATACTTGATAAAGTTAACTCTTTCCTTGGCTTAACGCCTCCCAGAGGTATCCTTAAACCACTGCACAAATTGGAGATGATCTCTGTTAAACCAGAAGCAGGCATACACCATGCCCTGTTACCTGCCGTCCCTGCCTACTGAGTATACCTCACAGCTTTCCTAGACTCCTAGATCCTTCTGATGGTGCCCAGTGAGAGATTCTACATTTGGCTATCGTAACTAAATCATCTCTGTGTTACTCCTCCATGTCTGTGAGGATCTGGGTGGATAAAATCTTCCAGAAAGCAAAGTGGGGCTGCCTTTGCTCTGCATGTTCCTGAAAGGCACTGGCTCAGAAGTACTGCTTGATTATTTCTCAGGGAGGAATTCAGAAAATTCAGATAAGTCAGACTGCTCCAGGGAACAGATACTGGTAAGATACACAAGTGCAATGTTTCAGCCTTGCCTTCCTTCCAGCAGCTAGCTAACAGGGGAACAGTGGCCAAACCAACCTGTAAGAGGCCAAGAGTAATAAAATTGCCATGTGCAAGTGGGCAATTGCAGTGCAGGTCGCAGCTGGAGCAGAATTCTACCAGGTACCAAAGCTCCTTAACAAAAGATTACATTTTGTTAGGAATGTCTTGATGATTTTTTTTTTTTGGCACCAGCAGTATTTCGCAGTTCCCTTGTTCCTGGTTTTATTAATTTTATAATAATCTCTGAACTGAAGGGGTTGATGGTTGAGGCTATCAGACTCCTGCTCAGCACAGCTGGATCTGCAGAAAGATGAATTTTAAGAGCCATTGGGTGGGAAGTTTCTTTAAATATTAAGAACAAGAAGATCTTAGTCCCACTTTTTGCTCTACCATTAGTGACTGTAAGGCTTTGACCTTTAGACGTAATAGAGGCATACAGATCCCCGATCTACTTACCTCCCCTGGTTGTCATAAGAATGAAAAGAAATAGTGAGTGTGCAAAAGTGCTTTAAAAGAACCACTGGAAAATCCTGTACAAATGGAAGGAAGTTTTATGGTGTTAGCTGAAATTCTACACATGGAGGTACTGACTTTATATCCAGCAAAAGTAAAATTTGTGCTGTACATGCCATATCACAGCAAGCTCACACCAGAACTCTAAACTCTGAGCAAAGGGTATGAATGAACATTACTGAATAGCTGGCTTTCAATCCCTGGTTGTACTTTCATTTTAGCTGCTTTTTGCAAATAATAATAATGATAGTTAACATGTATTGAGCACTTTCTAAGTGGAAAGCACTCTTCTAAGTGCTTATGTGCAGTGACTCATTTAATCCTCACAAAATCCCATTATCTCCAGTTTAAAGATGAGGAAACTGAGACTGAGTAACTTGCTCGAGGCTTCACGCCATGGAGCTGAGGTCTGAACCCAGTCCATTGGTTCTAAAACTTGTGTTGATCACCCCTACCGCATCTGCCTCTTCCCGAAAAGGCCCAGTTTCATGAAGTCGGGCATTGCACACAAACAGCACTGGACACAAAAACTGTTGTGCGACAGATGCCAATAAGCTGGAGACAGGTCCAGTCTTACCACTGGCAATATGGGCTCTATCCTTTATATCTGACATTCACACCCAAACCAACCCAAAGGCAACTGTGTGATCAAGGGCTCTCAGCAATGAATTGCCCTCTCTTGGAGGATAACCCCACCTAGTTTATTTGGTTCTGCTGCTGCCCTGAGCACTCTTGGTAGTACTTTCTGCTTTAGGATGTACATAAAATGGCAGGGTACCCTTATGACTGCCCAGATCAATCGCATGATAACTTGGAACTGCCCAAGGCTTCATTACATCTTAAGGAGGGTCTATATTTCAAGCTGTCTCCTCTGAGGCTACACGGCCCCTTTCAGCTGGGAAATTTCAGTGCCTGGTGATTTACAGATCAATGACCTCAGAGGCTGGGTTCCAGAAGAATGAGGTGGCAGGGAATGCTCCACGGAGATTCTCTCCTTGAAGGGCTCCCTAAAAGGAAGTTTCTGGGAGAGATTTTCTTTGCATATGTGAGGGCACATACACTGTCTTCCTACAAAATAACAACCTACTTACCTACTGGCTGCTTCTCTCCCTGTATTGGACCAACATGCTCTTATACTCAACTATGATCAGTGAGGGATGGGCTCCCCCAAATCTTGAGCTCCACAACATGCCCCAGCTGTTCTCTGTGGTTTTCTGTGGTGAACTGGGATGAAGGTGGGCACAGACGTTATAAGAACAGCTATGGAAGGCCAGGCCTGGGGATGGTGACTGGGGCCTAGGGTGGCCTCCTACACCTTCCCAGACACAGGGCTGAATGAAGCCGAACACGAGTTGGGAAGAAGTGAAGGGTTTATGCTTACGGTTCCCCCCGAGGCTGCCTGGTGTGCCCTTCTCTGCTGCAGCAGCTCCTTCACTGTGATCTTCACCCGGACACCTTGATACACCTTAGGTTTTTCTGGAGAAAGGCAACCGAGTCAGTGGTCAAGTGTGAGGTTTGGGTGTCAGGCTGGGGTGTGAGAGGGTTCTTCTTTATAAACTATGGCACCTGAGGCCAGATCTCTAGGTCTGGAGAATGCAAAGAGAACGCTAAAAGACAGATGGGAAAGAAACTCAAATTTCTCAAACTCGAAAGGATGAAGAGATACCGTGGGCAGGTTTCAGGGCCCCAGTGGAAACAGAACCTATGGAAATCTGTGGGGCTACCTGCCCCAGGCTGAGCCCTATCCCTAGGCCAATAGCACAGGTTTTTCTGCTCAGGAATGTGGAGACCAGTCTAGGGAGCTCACCCCTTATCTAAGTTAGGGGAACCTAGGGTTCTGGTCTGGGAGAGGATGGAGACGTCTCCCAGACCAGAACCCGGGGAGGGGCTGGGCGTTGCCGCAGCTGACATAGCCCACCCCACTCCCACGCCAGTGGAAGTTCTGAGTCCCTTCCTTCTCCACCAGGGCAGACGTGCCTTCTGGGGAGCCTCTGACCTCTACGTGCCCTTGGTCTGGAAGCCAGCCCTGGGGCAAGCAGCCGGCAGGTGGGTTTGGCCAGCCTTGTCCTTGGGTCAGTGAGGGACTCGCCAGACTGACCCCAGTAAAGTGACCAGGCCCGAGAACTCCCTCCCTCCCTCCCTCTCGTCTTTTTCTTCTGCCTTCTCTCCCTCACCCCCTTTCTCGCCTTTCCTGCTCTCCATATTTTCCTCCTCCCTCCTTAGTCTCCGCTCCCGCTCGCTCCTCTTCCCGTCTCTCCCCACCCCCTCCCTTTCTGGGGCAGGCATTTCTCCGCGGCGCCCGAAGACTCCGAGTCGAGTCCACGCAGCGCGAGCTGGGGAAGGCGTGCGGGGCGGCCGAGGATCGCGCACTCGGCCGGGAGGCCGCCCTCTGGAAGGGGCCGCCCCTGGGGCTGGCGGGGCCGGGCCTGGGTGCCCCGCTCGCGGGAGAGGCCGAGCGCGCCCTAGGGGTCGTTGGGGAGGGTGTCCTGCGCGCCGGGAGCGGGGGCAGGCGCGGCCCCGGGCGGGCCCCGCGGAGCCGCGGTGAGTAGGTCGGGCCGGGCGGGCGTTTGCGGGCGGGGGTGGCCGCGGGATCCCAGGAGCGACTCCGGCCCTGACGTCGACCCTGGAGTGAGCGCGGGAGAGCCGCGCGGGGAGGGGCGAACCGCGCGATCAGCCGGGGCGCCCGGCTACAGGGCCGGGCCGCCAGCGCCTCGCCTGGTCACTACGGAGACCGCAGCAGGACAGCTGGGAGCCCCCCGGGCCGGGTCTTGGGAGCTAGGGTTCTCCCCGGGAAAGGAGGTCGCGGTGTTCGTCGCCCAGACCCAAGGAATCCCGCGCCCTGTCCGCGGTCCAGCGTCTCCCTGCGACTTCCTCGCTGCGTCCGCGTCCCCGCGGACAGCGGGTGCTGCCCGGGGTCCGCATAGGGACCGCCACGGCTCAGCTCTGCGCGGGCCGGCTCAACCGGCTTGAGTCCCAGGCTCACCGTGAGCCTCTAGCTCCCGCCGCCGCTGCTGGGCGCACAAAGTCCGCGCCGGGAAGTCCAAGGGTCACAACTCTGGCCAAGTGAAAGGACCGGTGGTGGACCGGGGTACGCGGACGCCACAGCGGCCAACTGGACCTGTGGGCCTCTGCCCTCGGGACCAGGCGTGGAGTGGGAGCGGCCACAGCGTGGCCCGTGCCCTCTCCTGATCCCGGGCTCCTACTTGCATGCCCTGACTTTGTGCCTCTCTGTTCCATGCAGGAAAAGCCGTGGAAATACACCCGGATCAAAACGCCCCTTACCCTCGTGACCCTACCCCAGGACAAGAAGCCGAGTTACCCGACATCGTGGTCAGCAGAAGCTGGGTTGGTAGCTGGATGCTGCAGCAGCAGGGACTCAGCGCCTAGGAGGGCTCCTGTGCAGGGGGAGAGGCAGAGATGCAACATTTTTAAAGTTTCACAAAACATCCAGCTGCACCCAGGTTCCTGGAGCAGGAGACAAACAGAATTAATGTTTTATACCTTCGGGTATAGGTTTGAGTTTTTTCCCCCTCATGCCAAGTATTTAAAACCTCTAGAAACCCATGATTTGACAATCAATGATTGCGCGATACTTTCAATTTGAATATTCAAAGGCTTAACAAAATGGACTATCTTCTGCAGAAATCCTGCACACAGGCACCCCACAGAGAGTCCACAGAAACAGGGAGTGAGACCCCTTTGGGGCCTGGCCCTTGCTTTTATTGTATTTTGAGCATTTTGCCCACCTTCCCACAGACAGAGCAGGAGTCCTCAAAGATGCTCTGTATTTCTGCCTCAAAGGCAGCTCTGGGAGCCTTGAGTGACTTAGGCTGCCCTTCATGACCACCTGAGCCAGGCTGGCCGGGCCGACTGATTTCCATCTCTTCAGTCTCTGTTTTAAGATAAAATCTCAGGTTTTGGGGAGTGAACATGGCAGCAAGTAGGTCTGGCCTGGCAAGGAGTCACTCTGGGCCCAGATTGCAGGCTGGAGGCCTGCAGAGGCCTCAGCTCTGCGCCTCATCTCCTTCTGGCCCCGCCTGGCCACGTGCTGGCTTCCCTCCCCTTTCTTCCACTCTTTGTCTGTGCCCCAGACACTGGGGTTTCAGTACAGAATCCCTGCCTGTTAAGACCCTTTGCTCCTCCCCACAGAGCTGGGGATGCCTGTGGGGCTTCACCTTCTGGAGAGTTTCTGAGGCTGGTGTTTTTTCACTATGAAGTTCCCCTTTTTCTCCTCTTTATCCCTCTAGAGCCATCCCTGCCTCTTTGCTGCAGGAGCGTGTGTTGAGAGAAATGAGAAGCTTGGCTTCTGCTCATTCTAGCTGAAAGGATATGGATTTGTGTCAGGCCTTCACACTTTGGGTGAGAGGTGGGAGGGATATGAAGTCAACTGTGTCATTGATCCAGGCCTAAGCCCCTCACAAATGACCAGGGATTGTGCTGGGTTAAGTTCTCCAACCCCTTGCTGTACCTCTTCTGTGTGATTTGGAAGCTGAGAAGACAGGAGTGGTCCAGAGAGGGAGTGGGTGACAGGCCAAATCCTCTCCTGGCCCCCAAGAGAGGGCAGGGTGGGGCTACCTTTCCAGATAAGCCAAGACATTTCCATGTCGCCAGGACAGGCAATGGTTATAGGCCTCTGTTCTTTGTTCTCTGAATTCTCTGAAATGCAAGAGGTGGAGTTGAGCCCCTCAGGCCACCAGAAAAATACCCGAATGCCCTGGAATGTGTTGGATGCAGGAAGGAACACACAGAAATGGAAGATAGGGGCTCTAAGAGTGACAAGACACCAGGGTCTGTGATGGATCAGAGTTGCTTGGCAACTGAAGTTGTGTCTCTGGGGGAGGGAATCAGGGCTGGGAACACTTGAGATGGCACCTGGCAGTGGGTGTGGTGTGTGTTTGTCCCCAGCCCAGCTGGAATCTGTCAGCTTCTGGAGCCTCTTTCTCCAAAGGCACTGAGCCTGTGTCCTGAGTTTCCCTGATGTACTCAGGACCAGACTCATGAGGAGGCAAAGGACACTGGGAGTTCAGAGAGCCCCTATTTCTTTCTCCCTGTCATGCTTTGTGTGGGCATGGCCCCTTCTGAAGGAACAGTGAGCAAAGCAGCGTAGAATTAGGGACAGTCTCTTGTCCTCATAGCTTCTTCCATAACTTCTTTTCTCTTTTGTCCTCCTTTTTGTTTTATACTTATCTTTTGGTTTGCTTTAAAAAAATCTTCCTCTATGGCCTTTGTGTTTATTTTTTTCTGAATTTCTTTCTTTTTGTCTCTCTTCTTGTCATTGCTTTCTATTTCTTACCTACATTGCTGTTTTTCTCCCTGGCTCTCTGTGTGTGTCAGTTTTCCCATGTTCTGGGGTGCTGTCTCATTTTTTCAGGCTTAGTCTCCTTCCTAACCTCTCCTTTCATGTGGAAGTGGACAGGGGTGGCAGGAGGCCATTGAGCGCCCTTGGCAACGTCATCGAAATTGATGCGGATGATTGGCTGCCCTTTGGAGAAGGCAGGCAGGGCTGAGTGAGTGGTGAGCTCCTTGGAAGTCACGGGCTCTGTAGAGACAGCAAAGACCTCTTTGTCCCTTCCTCCAGAAGCCTCTGCCCAAAGAAGGACAGCAGTTCTGGGGGCTTCTGCATTGGCCCCTGCTGCTGGGATGGATGTTCCAGTGCTGTTGCTAGCCAGCAACTTCAGAAAACTGGGTTTCCTTAGGCCTGAGTCCTGATTTGAGAAAGAAGACCCCAGTTTTTAGCTCAACAATAAGGAGTTTCGTTGCCACTGTTTCTATAATTGCAGAACCCCAGCACAGGAGCTTAAGAGCCATAAGCCACACCTGTGGGGGTGAGGTAGGGTTCTTCTTAAATTGGGTCCTGTGAACCCTCCTTGTGGGGCTGTGTGTGTCACAAGGCCTGGAACAACCAGCTCAGCTCTGAGGTCCCATGGAGTTGGATGTTCCTCATAGACTTTTTAGAGTTTGTCCTTTATTGAGTGTTTATTGTATGTCAGGCACTGTATGGTATAGCCTCCCCATGTCACAGAGGAGGAAACAGGCTCAGAGGGATGAGCGGCATGACCAAGAGTACTGAGCACACACAAGGCAGGATTGGGAGTCAAACTTTGATAAATCAGATGCTAAACCCTTACTCTTAATTAACATTGTTGTCTTCCTGATCTTTTATAGCAGAGGCGAGCTGAAAAGGGCCTCAGAAGTAAGCTAGTCTCTAACCCCATTTAAGGCTCACAAAGGATGCAGAGTAGTTAATGATCTTTTATAGCAGAGGCTTTCAAACTTTTCGGACTTCAACCCACACTAGGAAATTCATTTTACGTGTTCATATACTATATCTATAACCATATTTATATATTTACAAATCAAACTTTTCATGGAACAATGTACACCTATGCATAAGAGATATCCTGAAAATTTCTATTCCATCTTTTCCATCTCATTCTATTCATGAAAAAATCTATGTTGATTCGGAGTCGCTAATATAATTTAATGACCCACCAGTGCGTTGTGACTGACATTGGAAAATATTGCCTGTGAGACATGCAAACCCACTTGTCAGAGCTGTGCTCGTGGACAGCGTGTCCTGTCTGCTCTACTGTCGGGGTGTGTGTGGAGGCTGGGGCAGTGCAGATACTGACTGGAGAGTGGTCTGTAAACACGGGTCACCGGAACCCTGAGAAGAGGCTGACTGGAGGGGAGGGGAAGCTGCTAGTTAGGCTTATGACAGTTTGTGCGTCTCAGACTGGAAACTCTTCTTTCTTGCTGGGGTCATGGTCACCTTCAAGGTGTCTGCCCTGAGGTCCTGATCATCTCTTTCGGGTTTTTAATAAAAGAGTGAAAAAAATGCTGTGGGCTTTAACAGGCTTACTTGCTTCAAAATATAACATAGGATCCAGATGTTTGGATGTTGGAAGGGATCTTTGAGGGACTGAGACAGACTTGGAGTGTTTTTCCAACATCCCTGCCAGTCGTTGTCTGGCCCAGGCTCCCTCCGCCACTTGGCTGAACTGCCAGCACATAGAGGAAGTGGGAGCTCACCGTGTGTCAGGTCGCCTGTTCCACTATTGGACTGCTTTAAATATAATCATTGGCTGAGACAAAATCCAATGCAGTATATTAGCTGAGCACCATCTATGTACCAGGCCTGGTACCAAGCACCAGAAATACAGACTGATAGTCATGCTTTCTGTCATCAACTGCTTGGTGAGTAACATGGAATACCTGTTCTCCCATGTCCACACCACTGCTCCTTCATTACAGATCTGTTTGGCTCGTTCATTTGTTCATTCATTCATTCATTCAACAAGCATATACTGATGATCTGCTCTGACCAGGCCGAGGGCTAAGTCTGAAGAAGGTATCATGTCCCCTTCCACTCCCACTGCAAACCTTCTCTTTTTAAGGTTCACCATCTGTAATTTCTCTAGTTCTTCATATGTTATAGTATTTCAAATCTCTGAGCCACGGATCTCAGAAACACTTTAGTTGGTCCTTGGCCTTCTTAAAGTCCTGTAGCACCAGAATAATGGGAATAGAATACATATTAAAAAAAGTTTTAAACCGAATATTTTAACTGAAAATTTTTGGCAGGCTTTTGTATGCAAATGACACTGCAGAACATTATATTTAGGAGACATTATTAAATTAGACACACGTGACACATGAATATGAAAAGACTTTCAGTAGAAGAAAAAGAGGCGTTTATTCCCTCCAAATTTGACTGTGGCTCTAAATTCTCTTCATTATTGCAAAGTTCTTTTGTCATTCTGACTGTGGGACACTGTTACCAAACCTTGTGGGAAATATCAAGTTCCAAAAACATGGAGGAAACAAGTACTTACTGGGTCCAATGTGAATGTTTGGTCCATATGCAAATGACCAGGAAGACTATTAGATGAAGGTTATTAATGATTTGTGGTAAGTCAGTCTCTTCCCATAAAATATATCCAAAGTTTTTACTTTAAGAGACTTCCATGGGGAATGAGCATTTGATAGTTTATCATTTAAATTAGGAAGATACCATCAGATTCTGCTTGAAAAGTTCATGTTTTACTTAAGACATTTTTTTTTAACATCTTTATTGGAGTATAATTGTTTTACAATGGTGTGTTAGTTTCTGCTTTATAACAAAGTGAATCAGTTATACATATACATATACATATCTCTTCCCTCTTGTGTCTCCCTCCCTCCCACCCTCCCAAGACATTTTTATTATGCAACATTTGAGACATACAAAAACATAAAGAGAACTGTGATAAAAGCCTGTGAATATATTATCAACGTTAAGAAATGTTATTTCATTTATGATTAAATTAATTTATTAAGCCTTAAACTTTTAGATTATCCACTCAAGATATTTGGTTAAGAGAGAAGGTTAGCAGGGATGGCTATCAATTTTCCCAATTTGAAAAGCGAATTCTTAGGTACTATTTGTTTTGTCCACATTTTCTCCCTTTTGGAACTTGTAAATTTTTTTTTTTTCACTCTCTTTTCCTTTTGGCTTGTAATATACTGACAATGACATTACATATTGCAAACCCACACGTTTATCAGAGATTATGATTAGAGGACACTTTTATAGAAAAGATCAAATATAACATGGTGTCATCATTTACAAATAATTATAGAAGATTTTATTATTTATTTAACCTGATCTTTAGGGATTCTAATTCCTGATCTATTTATCATATGTGTTTTAATCACACCAGAGATAATACCAAACACTGAATAACTTTTATTTATAAGAATTCTTAGCAATATTTATAGTCTACATAGATACTAAATGAATATATAAACATTTTTCTATGCTACTTCAAAGGTTCAGTAATTTTCCGTCTTAAAGACATTTAAAAATATGAAATCAGTCGTCTTAAATATATTACCACTACAACTCAATAGCCAGTACTGTCATGATTTGCAAAGAGTATGACTAAGTTAAATCCTAAGCATGGTGAGGACTTTCTTATACATCAGAATTGTCACCCATAGTGTTGAGGTCTAAGTTGTTACTCATCTTTGTGGTATAATTTTCCCTCAGCTTAACAGAGATTTACTGAGCACCTACAACCTGCTGGACACTAAGCCAGGTGCTGAAGACACAGAACTGTCCTTCCCTTGATGAGTCTAGTTAGAGGATCCTCTTTAGCCAGAGTGTACGATTTTGCACTTAACCTCTTGAGAGTCAGTAGTTATCAATTATGGTGTGTAAGATGAACAGTGTAATATTGTTTTGAACAGTGAGGATACCTTAGACAGAACCTAATGATCGAACATAAAGAAAGAGTATAATTTTGATGTGTGGTTGGTAGAATGACTGTAACGTAATGTGACTTAAACCTTGGACATCAATTGTTGTTTCAGTTCTTTAAATATACCTGATGTTTTATTTCATGTGAATGTATTATTTAGATTTACATATTAAAAATGGATCACAGAGGTACTAGTAATTCCTTTATATACGTTTACATTTACCTGTATGTAGATATATATGTATATATGTATGTATGCAAATATATATTTTACTATTGGGATTAGTAATTCTTTTTCCTTTGTGGAATTTTCTGTACAGTACTCTAGTACTGAAGTCTTCCCCTTGCCATCATATTGTATTATTAACTGAGCTGTAGCAAGTCATAACGCTGATTTAAAAGCAGTTATTAAATAAATGAGGTAAAGCTGTGGTTTTCTTCTCTCTTTCTTTGGGGTTTGTATAACATTGTAAGAGAAGTACAAACAGTTTCAACTACATACTATAGTATCTGTTTTTAGTGATGTATGGGGTGATTGCCTATATTTTAGCTTTTACATGGGAAAATTTTGCTTTCCACTTTTTTTGGACATTATCCTCTAGGGAGATTTCTTAGCTTGAATTTGACATCACCATCTCTGCTTACTTTAAATCTTAAGGGACCTAAAAGAAATGGTGTTTTGAACCTGAACACTTAAATTTTCTCTGGTTTCCCCAGGAAAGCTGTGAGTCTGGGAAGAGCAGGTTTGAGAAGGAGAGGGAGAGGAAAACATGTACAATCTTTATGTTGGCATTCTGCATTATTACATAAAGATGCAGTTAGTCCCTGGCATGTGGTAGGAAATAGAGAGTACTTGAATGGGAAATGGGATAGGGAAATATAATTTATTTTCCTAGCATAAGTTTATGTCTTGGTTTCACTTTTTACCAAGTATTGTAAATTCTCAGAACAATAAAACAGAACCAAATTAAAATATATGCAATATAGCGACACTGTCAAGCTAAATAGAATTCTTAAAAGTCATTTACCATTTGGAAATTATTAGCACCATTCCCCACTCCACTTGACACTTTAGACTAGAGAACTGAAATGGATACTAGACAGAGTATGGGCCTGTGTGTGTCTCCTTTTTTATAAATTACATTTGCCAAACACTATGGAAGGGCTTGGATGCTCTAAGAAGAATGTAGATACCACTGGTCACTGAGCTCTACTTATCTGAGAGCCAGTGAATCCTCAGGTTGTGAGAAGATGAACATAATAGGTGAATAGACAATAGCAAACTAAGAGAAATAAGCATGCCTAACATTTAGTGTTATAATTAAACCAAAATTAAAGTTATAGGAACACATATTTAAGACTTACACATAAACTTATGATTATTGTGTTATGTGCTACTTAGTAACAAATGGTAAGCAGTAGATGACTGTAATTATTATAAAATTTATACAACCAATCTAGAAAAGTGACTTTGAGATCCTTCCTTGTGAAGACCCTGCATCTACAGGGAGGGCCAGATCTCTTCCTTCTGATGTGGGGCCTGCCATCCAGGTATGAGTGAGGCTGGATGACAGATGGCTCTACCGAAGATGCTGGCAACCAGGACTAAGGTCTCCAGTCTCAGCAGACTTGAGAAGGGCAGCTGTCTCCCATGGTAGAAGCTGTCCCCTTCCACTGAAGAGCAAATATTGAGCAAAGTAAAGATCAGGCTGTGAAAAGGAGTGGTGGGAGGGAAGGAGTAGGCAGGGGACCTGGGAGAGTGCAGCCCAACAGCTATGGACCGTGAATGCTTCTTTGTTTGTTCCTCCAGGGATGCTGTCCCAGGACGGGGATGAAGGTTGTGAGGTAAAAGAAGGCTCCTATTCAAGTATTTCTTTGAGAACTCCACAAATTATGTGTGTGTTTACTCAACCAGAATATACCCTTGAAGGCCTAGAGAAGGAGGAATATCAATTATTCACTTCTAAATGTGAATTAATATCCATATTTGACTTCCTAGACTCCTACCTAGAGCATGGAACCCTGTCACAGAGGATGCGATGGAGACTGTATTGAGGGGCTTTGGACCCCCAGGAGATGGAAGGAAAAAGCACTGCATCAGGAGAGACCTGATGGGTCAGAAAAATGTTGTGAAGGGAATAAAGAAAGGAAGGTGGTAGGAAGACAAGAGTGGGTGTGACCTGTGAGCCTTGACTCACACTTTGCAAAGTTAAAGTGTGTGCAAGGTGTTTATGATGGGCTTGGCCTGCAGACAGGCACACTGCTTGTTGGGGATTACTATGGGAATTGAATTGCCAAAGGAGTCCACACCAGTCAGACTTACATGCGACAGATTGATGCTTCAAATGTCAGTTTCTTCATTTATACATAGTAAGAGCTATATATTTCTGACCAATGAGCCATCAACAAGGTCTTTCTTCAAAGATCATGTTGTCAAAGGACCTGACAACATGTCCTTCTCCAAAGACCCTTTGCTTCTTGGTGTTCTGTAGTCTGTTGTTTCTTGCCGACAGCCCAGGACTGCTCTCTGTGTTTTCCTTACAATGCATGCATTCTTATTTGATCATAGAATGTCCATTTTGCTAATGCATTCTGATAACTGTCAGTTTATTCCATCAGAGAGACAATGTCTAGCTTAATTAAGGCTACCATTGATCAAAGAAAGTCTTTGATCTTTGTTGTTTTTTGGATTAGCCTGATTTTTGGACATCCTGGGCTTTAGTGCAGAGTCAAAACCATGTTATTTATGAAGCCATAGTGTCCTGACCTCATTTTTTTTTTTTTTTTTTTTTGCGGTACGTGGGCCTCTCACTGCTGTGGCCTCTCCCGTTGCGGAGCACAGGCTCCGGACGCGCAGGCTCAGCGGCCATGGCTCACGGGCCCAGCCGCTCCGCGGCATGTGGGATCCTCCCAGATCGGGGCACGAACCCGTGTCCCCTGCATCGGCAGGCGGACTCTCAACCACTGCGCCACCAGGGAAGCCCCCTGACCTCATTTTGATGACAATAAGGCATTTATATGTGGTGTCACATTTGTTACTTGCAAGTTATTGTTATTTGCAAGTCACTGTAAGGGGATAAATGCGTATAATGCTTCACACTTTATGAAGTCACATGATATAAAATGAGTTTTGTTTTATGCACCCTAATCTATAGTACATCCTATGCATTCTCTTTTATTGAAGAACACACACAGTTCATAACTAAGAAAAACTGGACAGGGAAATCAGTATGTTTTATGATCTGCATGAAATTTTTAATGTAATTTAAGAAAAAAACTATCAGTGCTAAAAATGATACTTCAAAGATAACAAAAGATTCAGAACATAATGGGTTACTAAATTCCCCCAGAGAGCCCACTGTCAGGCTGTCTAACTAGAATATGGTCCCTGACACACTGAATTCACATTGTGGTATGTTTCAGTGGGGTTATAGTGGGAGGATCACAAATAAATGCCATCATCATCCATTAACAAAGGGTGGCATGATGGCTTATCCAGAAAATCCAGTTCTGAAAGAACCGCCACACCACAACAGTCTGTGAATACAGACACTGACTTAAAGAAAAGCACAGAAGTCCTCTGGCATGCTCAGTAAGCTTGGCGGCACTCATATGCCCCCCATGCCAGGCTCCCATCTTCTTTGTTCCACAGAGAAGGGTCCTGGAGGACAGAGGTGTCTGCCCCCTCGTCTGGGGAGAAGGGCCCCACCTTGGGTGGTGGGTCATTGGACATTGTCATGAAAGAGGTGAAGGGGTAGGGGGATGGGGTTGGGTACCCCTGCATGTGGTACAGATCCTCCAGTGTGTGCAGAGAATAGGACTGAACCCCCGCTAGGGGGGCCGCCCAACTGGAGCTCCTGTGCTGGGCAGTGCTCCCCGACTCTAGCTGGGAGAGGCAGCCTGTGCTGGGCGCCAAGCTCTGCACGGCATCGGCCGGCACGGGGTCTGGCTGGCTGAGGCCTTCGGGCACCGTCTGCTCCCACGAGTCCCTCTGAGGAGGATGGAAATGTCCCTGGGCTTAGTCATTAGGTGATCGTCTGACATGGGCAGATTTCCTTCCCAACACAGGGTGCTGCTGGCCCATGTCTTCCAAAGCAGACTAGGTGTCCTCCCTCTGCTGTCCAAAGCCTCCCTACCAGGCAGCTCTCCCCTCTGGTGTTTGACATTGGCAGTGGGAGTTTTAGTTCCTTTCTTACTCTAGAATTAGATTGTGTGTGTGTGTGTGTGTGTGTGTGTGTGTGTGTGTGTGTGTGTGTGTAGAGAGAGAGTCCTTTCCCCAGAAAACATTAAATGTGAAGATAATAAAATAAATATTTTGACAGCGTTTCATCATTTGCTCCTGGAAGAAGTAGACCCTAAGCTACACAGTGGGCTTCTGAGTGGGCTAGGAAGGCTACCTGCCCTCAGTGAGCAAGGGGGTAAGAGCCTCATAGGCTTGGAGCTGGAAAGATTTGGCTTCAATTCATGGCTGGGCCACTTACTACCTTCCTGATTCTGAGTACTTCACTTTGTGCTTCTGTAAGATGGGGCTTTAATAACTATACCCTGAGTTGTTGCAAGTATTAAATGAACAAGTGCACATAAAAGTTCCTGGCTGTAGTAGATACTCAATAATGTTAATTCCTAGTCTCCCACAGCCTGTTTTGTCTAAAATCCCATCTCCAGAGATTCATGCCTTTGTGGTTGAGGGCTTTACAGTATAAGAAAGTTACTAGTATTCTTCTTTATGAACTCATCTCTGGAAGGACTGCGAGAGAACAAGGTTCTAGAGGGTAGAAATATCGTGGGAGAGGGGAGGCAGGGAGGGGAAGGCGAGAGGAGTCCTGATGCACCTGCCCTGGCTGACAGCCTCGCTGTCTGTGAGGTAACTTCAGTGCTCTTTCCTTATGCACGAGAGGAATAATGGGGAAACATCTGGCACAATCGGTAGAGTATTAACAAAATGGATATATATCCTGTTTTATCAGTCGTCCCTGCCCAAATCCCTAGATAGAGCTTCCTGCCGCGTGGTTGCCACGGATCTTTGAGGAGGGCTCCCTGGGCGTGGATCCTGGCATCTCCCGGGGCGGTGCAGAGCAGCCTCCCGGGGGGTCTCTGGGGCGAGCAGACCTGGTTGCTAAGCACATGGGCTGGCCAGGGCCGCGGGAGCCCCGACGTTAGTGACCCCCTAAACTAAGCCTCTGCATACTCACCAGCACGAAGTGTGCGGACTCGCTGGGGAAGGGCAGCGGCAGGAGCTGTGGCAGGACTGAGGCGCTGATTAGGGAGCCGCTGTTGGGGGTCAGGGCCGTGGGGCGGTGGTCCCCGTAGAGCTCCGGGAAGTAGGAGTCCACGTGGGCCGGGTGGCCCTGCCCTGCCGAGGACTCGCAGGCAAAGTTCTTCACCACAGTTCGGGTGCAGGCATCGTTTGCGAACTGTTTACTGTTGTGGAAGTCCGAGTCCGTTAGGAGGGATCTCCTGACACCATAGTAACCTGACATCACCGGTGAGCCTGTTGCCAAGGGGAAAACAAACGGGCAAAAGTTTCCTTGGAGGAAGTCAAGGCATCTCTGTTGCAGCCACGTCTCTCCACGTGTGAAATGGTATTTCCAACGCAGGCCTGACGCCAAGGCCAACATTTAAATAGATAAATGTCTTGAAAGGCATTACATATAGTGGCATTACCTCTTTTAACTGGTGCAGCCCAAATAATTCATACATTTAAAGTTCGCTCTGCCTTTAGGGATAAGTTCACTTTAGATGGAGCAATAACTGTTCAGTGTCTCTCACTTCTTGTGCACCTTCAATGTGCCAGGTGCTGTGCTAGGCGCTGTGCTTATTCTATCTCTTTGGGCTTAAGGAGCTAGAATAAGAAGCCCTTGGCATTTACATTTCATCTAATGAAGTATCTTTTTCACAGCTTCTGAGCTCTGTCCCCATAGATACAGGACCGTTTGCTAGAGGCTGCTTCTGGGGCATGTTATGTGAGACTCAGCATCTCTAGATAAGGTGAGACAATAACCCTGCCCCAAATCAGAGGCAGGCCGTACTCTTCTAATTTTTTTGTACACTGGCCATGACTTGCACCTATTAGGCACCAGAAACGGCTGCTTGCTTTGCTTCTGTGAAGCAAAGTTAGAGGACCACAAAAAATGTTTTCTGGCTTTGATGAGTCTGGTGTTATTTGCTGCCTTCTTGTGGCCACGTTGAGTATCTCACTCAGCTCACCTGGGCTCTGCAAGCGAGAGAAGGGAATGCGTGGCACAGAAAGCTCCCCTTGGTGGAAACCGGGAGAGGCTGAAACTGAGAAGAATCTCATTTAAGGTAAGGCCGGTGAAATAGTCCCAGCGGAGAAGAGATGTGTTTGCTAAAGACTTTCTGATTTCGTAGCTCAGTTGTAGCAGGAAACCCTTCATCACTTAGAACATGTTCAGGAGCACAGACACAAGGGCTGTAAAACTGATATTTTTTTCCAGCTGGTGGTGGGTGTGATCCAATTAGCTAAGACCTACTCCCTCAGGTCACAAAGAGGCTGAGCTGGGAGGATGATGCGGGTGCTTGTCTTTGTCACCTTCCCCAAACACAGTGGACCGCTTCTGAGCTTTGTCCCTGCCCACCCTGCCTACTCTTCCACAGGGAGAGAAGACAGGCTCATCAAGACCCTCCTTCTTATTACCCTGACTCAGTCGTACATGACTCTCCAGACACAGCACTTTGGCCCCTGCCACCTGATGTGGCACTTCGAATTATGCTCGATACTCTCTCACCTGAGTTACAGCCCTCTTTCCAATCCATCTGCAAGCTCCATGGGGGGCAGAGCTTATGTCCTACACGTTTTCTGTAAACCCAGTCGTATAATACTGTGTTCAACAATTACATGTGAATTTATTCATTCATTCAGAGGAAATCAAAATTCCCTATAGAAACTTAAAGCACAATTCTACTCACTCCACTTTCATCTTAAATTCCATAGCCCCAAACTTCTAATCTGCTCATGAATTTGAAAGCTGCAGTTAGAGGTTTCATTGTAAGCATAATTCTCCAGAAAAAACATCTGTGCAAGTGAAAATTAATATCAGTAAATAAGGTTTCGTTTCATGCCAGGAACTTATACCCACGGTAGTGGTTAAAGCTGAGAACAGAGTGAAGAATAAGTAAACAAGGCTTCCAGGATCTCACGTCTGTATTCCCAATTTCCAAATAAAAAAACACAGCGGAAAAAACCCTTTGCTTTTTAAGCATGTATTTTTCTCCCTAAAAAGAGGAAGAATAATTCTAGATGATAACAGAGGCTGCAGAAATTTTCTTCTGTAGAATGGAGCAGATACAACCAGATTCCAGCGACAACAAATATGATTGGGAAACACAGCATAGAGACTTTCAGATATGTGGGATCGTCTCCTGCACTTACTCCTTTCCCTTTTCCAGCTCTGAAGATTACCAAAATTAGTGAGAAACCGTATGCCCTTCTGAGTTTGAGATCTGGAAGGAACGTGTGTGTGTGTGTGTGTGTGTGTGTGTGTCTACGTGTGTATACACACACATATGAGAGTGCCCCAAATTATTATTAAGAATTCTCCTATTCCATCCCAACAGGAGTACTTAATGAGACATATGTATTAAAATGAATGTAAGATGCTTAACTAAGTGCCTGGCATATGGAAAGCACCAATAAATAATTGCTATTCCACCTGCTCTCAGGTCTCTCTCTTTCTGTTCTGAAGCACGTGCATAATCTAGCAGACCACAGTGCCGGAATCTTAAACGTTTTAAAACTGCATCAAGGGCTTAATTGCTATTGCTTTTGCCCAATAAGCTTATGCTGGACAGAATGCATTCCAAATTCAGGAATGACTGAATGAGGTCTGGTTTCCCTGATTTTACATTTTAAAAATAAATATTTTAAAGCTGTAAAGTTTTGCAAGTGCTGTAAGGCAGCTATGAAAGAAGGGAAGCCTAAATGCCTGATTTAGCTCAAAAGGGAAGGAATTGCCCCTTGAACTGCAATACTTACCTGGCATCGGGCCAAACAGAGGCTGAGTAGAGCTGACACTGCCCTGGAAGACAGAGGGGGCACAAGGGTTTTCTTCTTTAGTTGCAAGTTTGAACTTAAAAAAAGTTTAGGAATACATTTTACAAGCTTTATTTTCTGCTACTAAGAAACATTTTAGGAGAGGTTAGCTTAGAGGAGGGTCAAATGAGAGTTAAGAACACAATACCAGGAAACAAACAAGGGACAGAGAGAAACCAAAGTTTTAGATTCTGATAAACTTGCCAAAAAACATAGTCTAGATGAAATAATTTATCTTTTTTTTTTTTTTTTACTGTTTGTGTTAATATCCTTCATCAAATATATATCAAAGATTTATATAAATACATACATACATGCACACACAAATATGTTTGTATTTGGTTTTAACGTTGAATGGCCACTTTTTAAGCTGTCTGCCTCCATGTAGAATGGAAGCTTCACTAAGGGTAGAGACCTTGACTGTGACTTGTTCTCAGTGTCCGGAACAGAGTGTGATAGACAAAATAAAAATATGTGGAATAAAAATAGGCGTCAAAGATCCCGCAGTTTAGTGAGCATAGGAGGTTGAGGGATGTTGTCGGTTGAATTATGTCCCCTGAAAAGATATATTGAAGTCCTAATTACCAGAACCTGTGAATGTGAACTTATTTGGAAATAGAAGGTTTGAAGATGAAACTAGTTAAATTAAAATGAGTTTGTCCTGGAGGACTGTGGGCCCTAAATCCAATATGATTGTTGTCCTTATAAGAAGAGGAGAGAGACACGCAGAGACACACACACAGAGGGGAGAAGGCAGTCTGAAGAAAGAGGCAGAAATCTGAGAGCTACAACTTCAAGCTAAGGAGCACTAAGGTTTGCCAGCAACCACCAGAAGCTAGGAAGAGGCAAAGGAGGATGCTCTCCTAAAGGCTTCTGAGGGAGCCTGGCCCGCCGACAACTTGATTTTGGACTTCTAGTCTCCAGATTTGTGACATGGTAAATTTTTATTGTTTTAAGGCATCCCATTTGTGGTAATTTGTTATTGTAGCCCTAGGACACTAATACAGGGAGTGAATGATGATGAAACAGATAATTTGGTGTAGTGTGAGAAGTGGCATTGTAGAAGTAAGGTGGGCTGAGGTGGACACCTAAGCCAGTATTAGGGATGGGTTGGGGGACATATCCTGGAGGAGGTGATGCTTAAGCTGAGTGCTGAAGGAAGAGTATCCAGGTGTGTAGAGTCTTAAGATATACAAATGAGAGCTCTGGCACCAAGATGCCCAGGAACAATGTTGCTGTTGTAAAAGGTGAGTCCTCAACATCTAGTTCTTCGGATTTGAACACTTAGTCTTGACCCTAATAATCCTACAGACTCTCAAGAGTTGGAAGAGATGTTACAGAGAGTCTCATTCAAGTACCACTCAAGGCTGAAATACTCTCCATGTTATCAGCCCTGGGTGCATTTAGCCTATAGTGGTGGAGAACTCAGCACCCTCTGAGAAAGCCTATTTCTTCTTTGGGGACCTCCGGCTGTGATAAAGTAGGCTGAAAAGAGTCATGTTCTTAATTCTAATCTCCTTGGTACATACAGAATAAATTAAACCCTTCTTCCATACATAGCTCTTCAAATATCTGAAGATAACCCATCATTTCTCAACTGTCTTAATCAGTCTGGGCTGCTATAACAAATACCATAGATGTGGTGGCTTAAACAACAAACATTTCACCCAGTTCTGGAGGCTTGAAGTTTGAGATCAGGGTGCAAGTAAGGTCGGGTTCTCTGGGGGTCCTCATCCTGGCTTGCAGTTGGTTGCCTTCTCACTGTGTCTTCATGTGGCACAAAGAGAGATCATCTTTTCCATGTGTCTCTTCTATAAGGGCACCAACCCGATTCATGAGGGCTTTGCCCTCATGACCTAACTACCTCCCCAAAGGCCCCATCTCCAAATACCATCGCGCTGGGGATCAGGGCTTTGTTTTTTTTTTTTTCAGATTCCATATATATGTCTTAGCATACAGTATTTGTTTTTCTCTTTCTGACTTACTTCACTCTGTATGACAGCCTCTAGGTCCATCCACCTCACTACAAATAACTCAATTTTGTTCCTTTTTATGGCTGAGTAATATTCCATTGTATATATGTGCCACATCTTCTTTATCCATTCATCTGTTGATGGACACTTAGGTTGCTTCCAGTGATGAGGACTTTAACACATGAATTATGGGGGTGGGGTACAAACATTCCACCCATAGCCCCAAACTGTAATTGTATCTTCTTCAGGCAAAATGTCCTCCAACCGTTCAGAAGTAGAACTGTATTTGAGAGTGAAGACTCTGGAACCAGAGTGTGTGTCTGAATCCCAGCTCTGACTCTTGTTAGCTGTGTGATCTTGGGCACATGAAGATTAAATGTGATTTTATGTGTCAAGCACTTAGAATAGTTCCTGGCTTAGAGTAAGGAAGATGTGAGTATTATCACTCAGATGCATTTTTATGTCTCTTCAAATCTATGGTATATTCCTCTAAACATGTTTTCTTATTTAATAAGTTAACACTTTCTTTTTTGGTTAAATTTAATTTATTGACATATAATTGATTTACAATGTTGTGTAAGTTTGTACTGTACAGCAAAATGATTCATTTATGCATATATGTTTTTTATATTCTTTTCCATTACGGTTTATCACAGGATATTGAATATAGTTCCCTGTGCTATACAGTAGGACCTTGTTGTTTATCCATTCTATATATAATAGTTTGCCTCTGCTAATCTCAAACTCCTTAATAAATTAACAATGGCAAATGGCAGAAGGGAACTCGTGGGCATGCAGGGTCAGAGATGGGTGCAGGTCAGGGTACTGTGATTCTTATATGGGAAGGAAAGGAGTTACTGATTAACTATAGAAGCACTTGTGTTTGGGCACATTTTCCCATGTTGCCAGGGCCCATGTTATCCAGTGTTTCCCTCTGATTTCCAGCTCTGTCCATCTGGGTCTTTCCTCCGAGGCCTGTGCCAGGGCCCATTCCCTCTGGCTTCTGCCTCAGCCTCCTTCACTGGGTAAGCAGGGTGTGGCAGGGTGGTAGCTGTCCTGGGTGCTGCCTGGGGAGATGTCCTGTTGCTCTCCTGCCTCTTTTCCTGCCTGCCTGCTCCCTTAAACTGCTCTGGCCAAGGCTACTGTGAGATGCAGTGCACGTGCCCAACCTGATGGACAGAAGTGTCAGCACCTGTCAGCCATGCACTGGTTCATTGGCTGCTGTGGCTCTGCCCTGGCCTCTGCCTGAGGCATGACAGAACTCAGTCTGTGCCAACACAGCCCCTGCAGCATCTACCACCACCAATGCCACCATCTACCACCACCAATGCCACCAACAGTCTTCTTATAGCCCTTCTTCTTCTTCTGCCCAGTTTTAATTATTACTGTGAAATTGCCAGCACTGTACCTCCCACCCCAACCCAATTTTAATACCTGAAGACTCTACAAAGCTTTCATAATTACTAGCCTAGTTGATTTTATTTATTATTTGATGAAAAGAAGCCTCTTGTGTTTGTTTCTCCTGCATACTTTTGCCCTTTACCTGCTGTGGAAAGTAAACACTCTGTTTACATTCTTTATGGTTAGTCATAAAATTTTACCTGCGTATTTAACAAAGATGACAAGCAGTATCTTTTAAAAATAATTTATTTTATTTTATTTTATTTATTTTTGGCTGCATTGGGTCTTCCTTACTGTGTGCAGGCTTCCTCTAGTTGCAGAGAGCAGGGGCTACTCTTCACTGCAGCGCATGAGCTTCTCATTGCAGTGGCTTCTTTTGTTGCGGAGCACGGGCTCTAGGCGTGCAGGCTTCAGTAGTTGCAGCACGCGGGCTCAGTAGTTGTGGCTTGCGGGCTCTGGAGTGCAGGCTCAGTATTTGTGGTGCATGGGCTTAGTTGCTCGCGGTATGTGGGATCTTCCCAGATCAAATCCATGTCCCACTCATTGGCAGGCGATTCTTAACCACTGCGCCACCAGGGAAGTCCCTACAAACAGTATCTTAAACCTCCCACTGACAGACAAGATCCTTAGGACATTAACTCTTATTGCTCCTCTCCTAATTTACACGAGTATGTATTTTCTTGTATTTTAGCTTGTTTCTTTTTATTAAACCTCCACAAATCAGATTTCATAATTATTTTCATCATCATTTTATCAAGTAAATCTGTATTAGATTTACTTACATGTTCATCATTTTCTTTGCTTATCTGTCCTCCAAACGTTTTTTCTAGATTCCATTTTCCTTCTTCTGAAATAACCCTTTAGAAAATTCCTTCCCTGTAGGTGGTGTTAGCGGTAAACTGTTTCAGTTTTTTATTTATCTGAAAATATAATTTCTTTTGCCCTGTACTTAAAAGATACTATTTTGGGGTTCATAATTGTAACTTTACAGTTATTCTTTTGTCAGCCACTGTCTTGTGGCTTCCATGATTGCTGTTGAGAAGTTTGCTATTAACCTTAAACTTATTCTTTGTAACAATCTTTCTTTCTTTTCTGACTACCTTTTTAATATACTCCCTTTGTCTTTATGGTTTTTCAAGTCCATCTCATTTTACCTTGGGGTAGATTTTTAAAATGTATTCTGCTTGTATAGGGTGTGCTTCATGTGGCTGGGGGTACATGTCTTTCAGAAAAGTTTCAACCATCCTCTCCTTAAATATTGCCTTGCCTGTATTATTTGTATTCTCTCCTTCTGGGTCTTCGATTATGTTAAATCTTTTACTTTTATCCCCTATATATTCTTAACTTTTTGTTACTTCCTCTATATCTATGATTCTATGTTCTATATTTTGTGATAGATGGGTATAGATTTCTTCAGCTCTACATCCAGTTCACTAATTCCTTCTTCAACTGTAGCTAATTTACTGTTTAACACAAACATTGAAATTTTTTGGTATCAATGATTAGATATTTTTTCATTTCTAGAAGTTCCATTGATTTTTAAAAAAATTTGCTTGGTCTTTTGTTGAGTGTTCAT